AGCTGAAGGCAGACGCTTAACGACTGAGCCACCCAGGTGCCCCAACATATTTTTACTCTTGAAAAAAAGAGAAAGTATTAAATTCAATCCCCTTTATTTTGCTTTTAAACTAAATGCAGAACAGAATCAGAATATATTTATTGCTGGAACTGTGGCTTAATCTGGTTGTTTCAGGGGGAAAACTACTACTTCCTATGGAGATGTATAATAGCCTATGATAAACACACACATTTTTTTTCCCCTAAACAATTTGAAAATAAGTTGCAGACACCATGCTCCTTTACTTTTACATAGTTAAACATGCATCTCCTAAGAATAAGGGCACCCCCTGCTCAACTACAATTACTACTGCTTATGAAAATTAACAATAATTTCATAAAATCTAATATTCGAAACACATTTGAACCCTAAGTTGTTTCCCCACATACCTTTTTTTCCAACCAGGATCCAATTAAGTTTCATGTATTTCATTTGGTTATTATGTCTCATTAGTCTCTTTTAATTAGAGCCAGTTTTCTTGTAGAAGGTTCCACATTTTGCATTTAAATTATTAGTATATATACTGTTTATTTAATCCCCTCCATGACATAGACTTAATTAAAAAAATTTTTTTATGAACAGTTTTTTATTGTGGTAAAATATAACCTAAAAGTTAGCTTTTTAACCATTTTTAATTATATACTTCAGTGGCATTAAGTACATTCACATTGTCATGTAGCGATCACCATCATACATCTCCAGAACTTTTTTGTCTTCCCAAAATGAAACTCTGTACTTATTAAACAATCACTCTCCACTTTCTCGTCCCCCGGCCCCTGGTAATCACTATTCTACTTTCTCCCTCTCTGAATTTGACCTCTCTAGGGACCTCATATAGACAGAATAACACACTGTTACCTCCTTTTGCAACTGGCTTGTTTCACATACTATAATAGCTTCAAGATCTGTCCATGTTGTAGATGATGTATCAGAATTTCCTTTCTTTTTAGGATGAATAATATTCCATTGTATGTATGTACCATCTTTTATTGTCATCAGACAATGGACAGTTGGGTTGTTTTCACCTTGTGACTTACTATGAACATTTTAAGACATACCTAAAGGTAGAGAAAATTGTACAATAATAGCATTCGATTAAACAATCATCAGGATTTTTGGATTTAACCCCAATGCAAAGTATTCATTGTTTAAAAAATTTTTAAAGGACATTTTCTTACAAATTCTCAATGCCATTTTCATGTTTACCAAAATAACAATTCTTTGGTTAGTTGGTATCATGTAATACCTGGTACATAATCTAATTTCCCTGATTGTTTCAAAAAGTGTCTTTTATAGTTGGTTTGTTTGAACCATTAAACAAGATCCACACACATTACATTTGGTTGCTTTTTAGATTCGTGCAGTCCGCCCTCACTTCCATTTTTTAAAATGCCATTATCTTACTGCATAACAGACTCAATTATATTTGCATGTATTTACAGGGGACTCCCCTCCCCCCCATTTTAAAAGAACCAAACACTGTATTTTGAGGTTCTTGAACCGGTTTTTTACGGAAATATTTCTTTTTTTTTTTTTTAAGATTTTATTTATTTATTTGAAAGAGAGAATGAGAGAGAGAGCATGAGAGGGGGGAGGGTCAGAGGGAGAAGCTGACTCCCCGCCGAGCAGGGAGCCCGATGTAGGACTCGATCCCAGGTCTCCAGGATCATGACCTGAGCCGAAGGCAGTCGCCCAACCAACTGAGCCACCCAGGCACCCCTTACGGAAATATTTCAAGTGGTTATAAAAACACACTATTTCTAAATTCATATAAACCTCATACAGTAACGCGTAGCTCCATCCTTGTCATACGACCCCATTACAATTTCGCAAACCGCAATTTTGGTCCCGGTAGATGCAGCTTCTACAGCAGAGGGCAGAATTACCTCTCCTAGAAGCCAAGAGCCGAGAAGCCCCTTCCCTCGGTAAACCGAGAGACTGGTTTTCAAGTGAAAAAGAAAACCAGAAGTTTCCTCTGAATAGAGATAAGGTAAATTCCCGGAGAACGTGGTGTTGAGGAAACATTAGTGACTTAAATAATACAGACTAGAGATTCGGGTTGAAAGAGCAATCAGATTTGGTTTAAAAGAGGGGCAGAGTTATTGGAGGACATCGATGGAGTGATGGTGGGCAACTAGGGGACTAGGGTGAAGGGTCGGAAAAACAGCCTCTAAAGAATTGAAACCTGCTCAGGCACTGCCGCAGGAGAAAAAAACCGACACCCGGGGGAAAGCCGTTAGGGTTACTGGAGTTGAGCGAAAGACGGGAGCAAATCACAGGGAGTAACTCCGAGGGCCTAAAAGGTAGTACTGGAGCCGGTTTTTCGAGAGACTGGAGAAATCCGATAAAAGGTACTGAGCACAGAGCAGGTGAACAAACCACTCCCGTCTACCTCTCCGCACCTAGGGCAAGACCGGCCCCAGGCAGCCTGCGCCTCTACCAGGTAACGATAACGCAGGTGGCGTGACGTGTAAACGCGTCACCACCCATGCCTCCGCCGCGGGAAGTAGTTCCCATCGCGCCGGCTCAGCTGGATGAGGGAGCCTCGAGCCGCTCAGGACGTGAGTTCCGGAAGCGACGAGCGCGCAGCCAATCTCTGGGAAGGAGGGAGTGGCTATCATGGCCCCGCAGATCCCTCCGCCCGTGCTTGCTTGTGCTGAGGCTGGGGGAGCCGCCATTTTGGGTGCTGAGCTTTAAGTGCCAAGTTCCTTTCACCCGTTTTCACGCCTGGATTCAGCCAGGTGAGTGTGGCAGTCTTAACGTGAAGGGTCTTTGTTTTTCTCCTCGCACTGCGCTCCGGATTTAGAAGTCCCTAGTCTGGGGTTCAGACGACCCTGAGGTGGCAAGTGAGGAGAAAGGGAAGGATCCTAGGTTTGGGGTCAGGCCGGTGGTCAGGCCGGAGGTCCGCGGTGTGGGAGGCCGCTTGAGGCCGGGGTTGGGGGCGTGGCAGGGCCGAGAGCCGCTTGGATACCGCTGGACCTGGCTACCTGAGGCGGCGAAACTTTCCTGTTGTCCTTCCTGCCTCGAGGACTCTCCCCCGAGGCGGAAACGCCGCGGCCTCGGCTCCGGCTCCTGTTGGTGACAGGGTTCGGCCTGCGGTATCGGTAACACCCCTGTGCGGTTTCCACTGGTCCAGAGAGACTTCGGGAGGTCGGGGTCTGCATTGACCGCGAGAGCCTGATCGCCTGTACCTGGCGGGGCGGCCTCCTGAGGTGGTGCCCCGTTTGGCCGGAGGAAATTGCCTTTCGCTTTAGCTTAAGCGAGCAGCGGTCTTCTCCCCTTTCGCAGATTCCCCCGTGTCTTATGGGAGACCTTGTGAAGAGCCTGAGGCCCGGTCCTTGCCTTTCCCCTCTTTGTGTTCTCAGCGCTCCTCTTCCGCGGTGCTGGAGCTGAGGACTTGAAACGGCAGCGTAAACTTTTGCCAGGATCGGGATCCACGGAGGGTCCGTTTACAATCAGGCAGTAGGAAAGACACAGCCGCTTTCATTCTCTGCGGTAGTAAAATTAAAAGCCGCTCATAAATAGCTCTTCTCGGGGATTGTAATTTTTTGTTTTGCGTTATGCTTTTAACTTCTTTTTTTTTTTTTTTTAAAGATTTTATTTATTTGACAGAGAGAGATACAGCGAGAGAGGGAACACAAGCAGGGGGGATGGGAGAGGGAGAAGGAGGCTCCCCGCTGAGCAGGGAGCCCAATGTGGGGCTCCATCCCAGGATCCTGGGATCATGACCCGAGCTGAAGGCAGACGCTTAACGACTGAGCCACCCAGGCGCCCCTGCTTTTAATTTCTTACTAAAATTTCATACTGACTGAAGAGTATAATGAATTCCTTCCTCATCTCGCATCAACAGCGTTCAGTTCAGGGCCAGTTTTGTTTATCTCTCTCCTTGTGCATGTATTTAACAAAATAGTAGTCGAGATATATGTGAGTGGGTGCGTCTACACGTAGAAGCCTTTTGACTCCTTTACCTGCAATCCAGTAGTCCGTGGGAAATTTTGTTTTTACAGCTTTCTCAGAATCACATCTTCTGGGAATAAAAGACTTGGTAATATCCTTTTCTTAGAAGATAAAAGAGTGTTTTGAAACTTGAATGTTAGCATTGCATTTTAAAGTCACCCAGTTTTCTAAATCCTCTCATTTTTAAAGTACTGTTACGGTTTTGTCCAAATGATTTGTTTTTACTCTCTGTGCCTTTGGTCTTTTAAGTGATCAGGAGCCTCCAGAATCCCCAACTTTAGTCTACTTAAGTTCTCATTCCTTTAAAATTAGATTCAAGTCCCAGCTGTATGTAGTTTATTCTGATTTAAAAGATAAAACTAGAAAATAGGGTGTGGTCTAATGAAATAATTTCAAATGCAGGAAAAGTAGTATGCATATGAATACTAATTTCAGCATTATTTATTTATATGACAGATGTCAGAAAGTTGGAGAAATAATTTAAAAATTACTATGGAATATGAGGCAGCCATTAAAATAAAGCTAAAGACTGTAACAACAGATACTATGTCACGTGATAAAAGGACTCAGTGTCAGAGTCCATGATTACAGCTCTGTAAAAATATGAGGAAAACTCGTGGTAAATGTATACCGAGTGACTTTTCTGTAATTTTTTATATTAATTTTATTGAAACAAGACAAAAATACTTTCATAATGCGTACACAGTTCAGTAGTTATAGCTTCTTCCAGGATATCTGATGGTCTCTGCTTTCTGTAGTCTGTATTTGTGAGTGTACACATGATGCTACTGGTCTTGTGGCCCTTCATTTTATTAACTTTTTAATCTTGGATTAATTTAGTCAGTGAAGATTTGATAACGGTTAGCAGTGTGAAAATACAGGATAGTTGGCATTCTATAAATCAGAGGTTTTAAGGATTGGACTATATTAATTTGGAAATGCTCTCTAGCTTGTTTGTACTCTTATGTCACCTCTTCATAGCTTCATTACAGTGGTCATACCTAAATCTGTTCATATCATTTATTTTATAAGGAAGAAGTATTCAAGATAAGTAAAATAATACATTTCAAATACAAAAGTTTTTCTTGATACTGCATAATACCATCCTCGTCACTATTGACTTTGCTGCCTCCCTTCCCCACTTGGCACTTTTGGAGCTACATACTCTAAAGCTTGTCTCTTAGGACTTCAGGATCTTTTTTTGCTTTCTCTTTTTTTTAATTAAAGATTTTATTTATTTATTAGAGAGAGAGAGGGAGAGCACAGAAGAGAGGGAGAAGCAGACTCCCTGCTGAGCAGAGAGCTGAGATCTCAACCTAAGCCGAAGGCAGACACTTAACTGACTGAGCCAACCAGGTGCCCCCTCCCTTTTTTTTTTTTTTTTCCTATTTTTAACTATAAATAGAGCTTTCAGGATTACTTCTGCTGGTCACCTTCATAATTTTGGGCAGCAGGTGTGAGCTGCAGCAGTCTCACCTTTCTCCCCCAAATAATATGAGGAATGACTCAATCCATGGTTTTATACCTTCCCTTATTCAGAATAAGGAGATCCTTCTTTGAAAGGCTCCTAAAAAAAAAAGAAAGAAAGAAAGAAAAGACTGCTGGAACTGAATGATGAAAGAGGGACTAGATGGATTTGTTGTTCCAAAGTTAAGGATTGGGATGAAATGAGTTGGGAAGAGCCAAGAAGGGCACGTGGTGGTATGCCAATAAAAATAGATCATTACAGGCATACCCTGGAGATATTGTGGGTTTGGTTCCAGACCACCACAATAAAGTGAGTCAAATGACTCTTTACTTTTTTTTTTTTAAGATTTTGTTTATTTGAGAGAGAGAGAGAAAGCGCACAAGCAGAGGGAGCCACAGAGGGAGATGGAGGAGCAGGCTGAGCAGGCTCTCTTCAGAGTAGGGAGCCTGATGCACGCTCGATCCCAGGACTCTGGGATTATGACCTGAGCCGAAGGCAGACGCTTAACCCACAGCCACCCAGGCGCCCCTGAAATTTTTTGTTTCAAAGTGCATATAATAATTAATGTTTATACTACATTTTAGTCTGTTAGTGTGCAGTAGCATTATATCTGATAAAATAACGTGCATATCTTAATTTAAAAATATTGCTAAAAAAAGACTAACCATCATCTGAACTTTCAGCAGGTTGTAACTTTTTTGCTGGTCGAGGGTCTTCCCTCCATGTTGGTGGAGTGATCTGGGTGAAGCTGAACCTGTGGCAATTTCTTAAAATGAGGAAATAGTGGAGTTTTTGCATCAGTTGACTTCTGTCATGAGTAGTTTCTCAGTATATGATATTGTTTGATAACATTTTATGCACCATAGAACTTTCTTTAAAAATTTGAGTCAATCCTCTCAAACCCTTCTGCTGCTTTATCAGCTAAGTTTATGTAATATTCTAAATTCTTCGTTGTCATTTCACCAATCTTCACAGCATCTTCACCAGGAGTAGAATTCATCTCAAGAAACCACTTTCTTTGCTCATTCATTCATAAGAAACAGCTTCTCATCAAGGTTTTATCATGCAATTCAATCACATCTTCAGGCTCCACTTCTAAATTTAGTTATTTTACTATTTATATATTTATAGTTACTTCCTCCTCTGAAGTCTTGAACCCCTCAGAGTCATTCATGAAGATTGGAATTAACTTTTTCCAGACTCCTGTTATTGTTGGTATTTTGCCCTCTTGACATGAATCAGATGTTCTTAATGGCATCTAGAATGGTGAATCCTTTCCAGAAGGTTTTCAGTTGACTTTGCCCTAATCCATCAGAGGAATCACTGTCTATGGCATCTCTGACTATGTAAGATATATTTCTTTTTATTTATTTATTTATTTGACAGAGACAGCGAGAGAGGAAGCACAAGCAGGGGGAGTGGGAAAGGGAGAAGCAGGCTTTCCTGATGAGCAGGGAGCTGGATGCCGGGCTTGATCCCAGGACCCTGGGATCATGACCCAAGCCGAAGGGAGGCGCTTAACGACTGAGCCACCCAGGCGCCCCATAAGATACATTTCTTAATAAGACTTGAAGTTTGAAATTACTCCTTGATTCATGGGTTGCAGAATGGATGTTTTGTTAGCGGGCATGAAAACGTTAATCTCAGGCGCCTGGGTGGCTCAGTTGTTAAGCGTCTGCCTTCGGCTCAGGTCAGGATCCCAGGGTCCTGGGATCGAGTCCCACATCGGGCTCCCTCCTCGGCGGGAAGCCTGCTCTCCCTCTCCCACTCCTGCTGCTTGTGTTCCTGCTCTCCTCATCTCTGTCTCTATCAAATAAATAAATGAAATATTAAAAAAAAAAGTTAATCTCATACCTCTCCATCAGAGCTCTTGGGTGACCAGGTGTGTTGTCAATGAACAGTAAAAGGAATCTTTTTTTTTCTGAGTAGTAGGTCTCAGTGGTGAGCTTAAAATATTCAATAAACCATATTCTAAACAGATGTGCTGTCATTCAGGCTTTGTTTCATTTATAGAGCACAGGCAGAATAGATTTAGCATAATTCTTAAGGGCTCTAGGATTTTCAGAATGGTAAATGAGCATTGGCTTCAACTTAAAGTCACAGGCTGCATTAGCCCCTAACAAGAGAGTTAGCCTGTCCTTTGAAACTTTGAATCCAGGCATTGACTTCTCTCCAGCTATGGAAGTCCTGGGTGGCATCTCCTTTCAGTATAAGGCTGTTTCATCTACATTTAAAATCTGTTGTTTAGGGGGTGCCTGGGTGGCTCAGTCCGTTAAGCATCCGACTCTTGATCTCAGCTCAGATCTTGATGGCATG